CCCCCTTGCCGGGGAGCGGCGGGCCCCGTGAGCCATGGCTGCTGAGCCTGCGCGTCCGGAGCCTGTGCTCTGCATCGGGAGAGGGAGCTGCAGAGGGAGCGATGAGGGGCTGTATTCAAAATGAGAACTGCTGAATAAAAAATAAGATTTTATTCTAAACTTAAATATGGCGTATGGCTTCTTTCTGCAGCTCTGGGGTGGATTCAGCAGTATTTTTTCCGGATCAGCGCCTCAACTTTAGATCTGTGACACCAGCCAGGCAGCCTGAATCAATGAATCTGAAAGCCTCAAAGAGTATGGACCTTGGTAAGTGAGGGTGAGGTGGTACCCAGGTCAACTGTCCAGCCTCAGCCCATCTATCTTCTTGAATGTCCTGCCGTTGTTTCTTCAACTCCAACCTTAGGGGGCAGGGTTTGCTGAAGCTTGGAAGAGGGGATGTTGGTCATCCTATCTTCCTGTCTCCTCTCACACATTTAATCGTAATTACCCCTTTTTAAAAGAGAGATAAGTGACATTTTTATATATAGGTCAGAAAAATAGGAGTATTCCTTCTGGAGGATCTGAATGCCGCTAAGCATCTTTAACTCACCTGCCTTTGCGTTTGTACTCTCACCTCTGCTAGTGTTCTGTTTCTCATGTACATACCTGTTGCAGGGCCTGGGAAGATAAGGCAGTTCAATGAATCCTCTCCTGCAGGGCATCCCATCTCTCTGTGCAATGGATGGGGATGGCGGCGGTGGAGATCTATCTCTTTAAGTGCCCATCTCCAAATCCTGTAATACCAGAGGGAAGAAGGGTCCCTGGGTTTGCCAGATTGAGGGAGTCAAGGTACCTTGGTTTCATGCCCAGACAACCTCAGTGAGATTCTGAGTCCTACAGGGAATTTCTGGGTGACTGTTGGCTGCCAGGGCAGAGCAGTGGCCCCTGCAAACTCTGTTCTCCAGGCTCTGGAATGTGAGATCCTGGAAGACATCTCAGATACCCAAGCCCGTTGTTGCACTCCCATGGGTCCTTAGAGAGAGAGAACTATTGGAATAGGATGCTGGTACAAAATAAATTCTCAGCAAAATATTCACTGCTTCCTGAATGCTCAGAGGCCAAGCTTTGCCAATGTCTTTTTTGTTTGTTTGTTTGTTTTCCGAGGCATATTACATATTTCATTAGTAGCACCAAGAAAATGGAATAATCAAAACTGCGTGTTCCATGAAACAATCTGATAAATAGTGCTTATCTGTTACTCATTTATAGGAGTTCAAAAAGATGTTCAGTCACGATGAAAAAAAGAGAAATTGATTCTATTTTCTATAAATTAGCTAGATCGCTGGGATACATTTGCTCTAATCACTTATAGTAAGAGACTGACAGAAAGCCTTAATAAGGAAGCTGTCTTGAGCACTGGTCAAAAAGGGGTATTTTCTCAAGTGTGAACCTCTGACCAAAGGAATAATGTGTGACAGTGACACAGATTACCACTAATAATTTAAGGAGCAATTTGTTTTTATAGAGTGCTTGATAAATATTTCCTGTTCTGTCTTCCCAATTTCTCTATAAAGAAGATGAATGGGTAAAAACTGCTCTTAATTTGGGGTGAGAAATATATTACTCTTTTCCTCATTTAATTAAAAAAAAAATAAGTAGCCAGTAGTACGGTTTTTAAAAGTCTCTGCAAGGGCTTCCCTGGTGGCGCGGTGGTTGGGAGTACGCCTGCCGATGCGGGGGG